GGAGATCTTGTCCCTTCGCTTGAAACTTCTCAATCAGTTGTCTAAATAGGAAAATAGCCTCGATTGTAGACTTTCTTGACATAAAATCAAATTGGTTTTCAGATATACTCGTTTCATGCCTTAGTTGTTGCTCAATCACTCTCTTCCAGAGCTTCATAGTATGGCTCATACACTTGGTCCCTCGATAGTTCGCACAATTCTGTATGTCTGCTTTGTTCTTATAAATAGGTACCATAATACTTTTCCTCCATTCGTTTGACATTTTCTTTGTTCTCAACACCTTGTTGAACTTATAGAAATTCTTGTCAAGTAAAATAGCTCAAGGATATCTTGTTCAAACTATGCCAAAATGATGTACAATGATAAAGACCTATAGGCAAGCAATTAGGCATGTTATGGTGAAAATCAACTATAAAGAAGCAAGATGGATGGATCACCTTGCTCTTATGGACCATTTACAGCAAGAAAGGGATCTTGACGAAGATGGAATCCTTGATGCTAAAGGCTCATCAAAGAACTAGACACTGTAGCTCCTCAGTCTATGCTCATGGTTCACCATAAGGGGGACATGCCTCTCTCTTTTTCTCAAGCTTTCTCTCTTTATCTTGAGGATGGAATGAGGGTGGCATGCTCACCAAGGGGGCTTCTCTAACTCACTTAGGTTGTTCGAGAATTTAGGGTTTAATGGTTTACATGGGATCATATTGTGGAGCTTCAAGATGGTTAAATTTGGAACATTGATTAAGGGAATCCAAGGTGTAGACACCCCCTCCGAATCTAGGATTATTTCTAAGTCCCCGAACCCTGAAGCTTACTATCCTACGCCCTAGTGCACCATAGCCCCATACTCCATACACCATATCAAACATCCTAGAAATCAGTTCCATCATTAACTAAATCCAAATCAAACTAACCTAACCTCACTTAGTTACGACTTAAACCCACTTAGGAACCATGAAGCCTTCCAAATTAAGCTTAAACCCCCTTTAACCTTCCTAGTTAGGTTAGAAACATGCCTAAAGACCTTTTATTTCTATAATAAGCCCTAGATTAGGAGCCCCCAAAAAAGATTAGGCCCCTAATCACCTGTGACCAGCCAAATTAACCAAGACCCTAGGTTTGACCCATTTAAATAATAAAATCAATTAAACATATGTATAAATGAAGCCATTTAACACAAAAATCCTGTAACCCCCTTCAAAAAGTCCCAAATAGAATCATATGGACGTATGGGGCTAGGTGGCAGGAAACCATCCCTAGTCGGAGTCCATAGGACTTAGCAAGCCCACCATGGTCGCATGAGACCCTCAAGGATCGTGCATAGCCCAGGTGGGCTTGCGTAAAGATTGACGGCCCTAATTGGGCCAACACCTTGGATGGGAAGTTATAGAGGGCACTGGCCTATAGAAAGGTCCCCTTACACTAAGAAAAGGACTGGAATTCTTGACATTTATACTGAAACTCTAACGCTTAGAATCCAGATTTTCGAGCCACACACCCTAAATAACATAATCCTAACCTTAAACCATCTAGGCCACCTTGCATGTACATAGCCTCAGCCCCCCTCTTTGACCCTCATACAAACCCCAAAACAGCCTAAATCCTAGACTAAGGACCGCCATCGGACTACTCTAGACTGTTGTGGTCGACACTCGCCTCAAAGGTCCCTCTCCAACTCTGATCAATCTCCAACTACGAGCATCTCTGGCTCATCTCTCTAAAAATACGAAGGGAACGGTTCCCTCACACTGACATCTCTGAATTGAGTCCCAACTCAGGTTGCCGGGCCTGTGGGCCCAGCTTAAAAGTAAGCCCACTAACCCACTAACCTGTTCTTTCATTTTTTTTGTTATTTTTTTTTTCTTTTACATAGTGGTTCTCTTACTCATTTTCCAAACATCTTCTCAAAGCCCCTTCCCTGTTTTCCCTTCTTTTTTAAGTTTCGTTTGGTTTAGGCGATTTCTAGCCAGTGCGGCCGGTAATCTGCGAGAAAGTGGCCCTCTTTCGGTCATTTCATTATGTTATAGCTTGATAGAACCCTTTTATCTCTACCCTCTTGACAATGAGTTTATACATCGAACCAAGGCAATTTCACCCTCTCGCCAGAATTTTGGCGTATAAACACAAGCCCCAAAAATGTATATCCTGCAACACATTATCCGGACCAGTAAATTTGAAGTGTTAACAAATTCATCAGTTTTGCATCATTTTTTGGAGCTTCAATTTTTATAATAGATTTCAAGCCGTCATAGGGGTTTTCAACACCAGAAATATATTTTTCAGTGAGGTTTCATTTGTGGCTGTACATTTTCTTGTAAAGTTGCGGGCTTAACTAACCAAACCCATAAAAAATAGATGAATTTGTAACAATATAAAACATAGGTTAATCTGCATAAAACACAAAGGTAGCATACTTCTTAGCCCAGCTCAATGTACATTTCAATAAAAAGATCAGAAAAAGCAATTAAAATTGAGATAATTTAATACCACAGAAAAGTAGTAGAAAAAAAAAAGGATGTTAAAATTAAGAAAGTTCATATAAGTCACAGTATAAATTAAATGGAATGTGCAAAGCATTCCTTTCATACTGATCATTGTAGTTTAGACGTGCTTTGTATTTAGCAATTCAAACATTTATTTTCTACATTTCTTCCACCAAATATGAAAGTATATCTTAAATCAACGTTTGAGATACATAGAGAATAACATACTTAAAAAGTGAGATAATATAAAGAACATTTGAGAAAGAGATCCATATGAAAGAGATAATGTGTATTATTCAAATTTTTATTTCTTAAATAGAAGTAAGAAATTGAATAATTCTAGTGAGAAATAAAAATAAGAACAAAAAAGTGTTTGCAATCTCATTTGAGAGCTAAATTATCCAGGTGAAAGCTCAAATATTACCAACCAACTAAAATGATAATGAAATTAAAAAAAAAGTGTAAAGTTAAAGGGTAATATAAAAGAAGAAAATTTGTATCAAGTAAAAATTTTCAATTGAAAGCAGGCCAAAATAAATACAGTTATCTTTTTCATCTATTGCCTACACAAGAGAATATGTACCCAGTAACAAATTTTTTTTTTTTTTTTTTTGAACGTTTAATAGCTACCTATTTTACTATATCCTTGTCTCAAGGTCTATGCCAGGCGAAACCATTCCTCCTCTCTCTCTCTCTCTCTATATATATATATATATATATATATATATATATATATATATAGAGAGAGAGAGAGAGAGAGAGTAGAAGGAGTAG